CTTATTGCGAGCCTCAATGAGAATCTATCATATCTCATTTCCACCAGGATCCAAGCGAGAACGTGGGTCGCTCAATTGCCCAATCCTGTAATTCAATCGAATTCAGAATCTCTCATGTGAACTCGCCGAGATGATCCCCTTTTCATTATGTCTTCAATTGTGTGTTCTCTCGATTATCTTGAGCGTTGAACGTTTCTATGCTACTCTCAACTATTCAAGATATGAGCAACAGAATATCGAGAGGCCATTGAGATATATTTTGTTTATAACGGTGAGTACATTGGCTACATTGGCTTAACAAGTCATTAGCAAGGAAACAGCTCTACATTAGACTTTAATGAGCTTTGAATACACTCATAACATACTGGCCAGGTTATCAAACATTTGATACACGCTCCGCCCCTTTTCCCCATGGGCAATCTAACTTTGAGCTCTAATTTATTGGTTTCTATGCTACTCTCAACTATTCGAGATATGAGCAACAGAAGATCGAGAGGCCATTCAGATATATTCTGTTTATAACGGTGAGTAAATTGGCCTATTATCAAGGAAACAGCTCTACATTAGACTTGTTTTTTTGATGAGCTTTGAATACACTCGTAACAAACTGGCTACGGGCATTGGTTTTCTTTTTGGAAAATATATTTATTCACCACACGAATCATGTGGTACAAACAATACACAAGCACAACCCCCTTACGCCCTAAATATAGGGAAGAAAAGAAAAAACTCATATATATGTCGTAGCCGTTTACGAATGAAATGTTTAAATGCAAAATTCAACTGTATTCCAATTTATCTATGGCTATGCTTATGCAAATACGGCTCGATTCAACTCAGTTTACCGTGTTTTTGATTTCAATTCTATTTATGCAAAACGCAAATCAACAAACTAATCATAACAAGTGAAATAAAATTTATAAAATTTCACATAGCATAATAACATTTATAATAAATATCAAAACTAACTTGCTCCGTATTGCGAATTGTTAGCGTGCTTTCCCTTAAATTTGCCTTAATCTAGACGTGGATAGACTTGTACGCTCCGCTTGAATGATTAACAAAACCAGGTATTTTCAACAAACGTGGAGCAAAAGCGTCTGAAAATGTTGTTGAAAAGTTGAAAATCAAATCGCTTCTAGCTATTCTCGTGTCTTTTCTGCTGTTTTTAGTAATTCAAGAGAGTGAGTTGAGAATTGGATTGAGGTCTACTCGAACTCCCACTCTATAATTTCCCCACTCCACCACGTTTCCGCGATCACTCTCACACTATCCTATTGCTGAGGTTTAGTTCAGGGTGCTTCTAGAAATTCTCCTTCTAGGTTCTCCTTCTAGAGTCTCTCGACTTAATTTCACTTTTCATCTGCTTATAAATTTTCACCTGTTTCATCTGTTTTCGTCTCTTGGGTTACCGCCAATAACTCAATGTTCTATCATCAGATTCTCATTCTCATTCTTATTCTCATTCTCATTCTCATTCTTATTCTCATTCTTATTCTCATTCTCATTCTCATTCTCATTCTCATTCTCATTCTCATTCTCATCCTTCACAATGCCCGCACCTTCATATCCGCATTTATATGTTCGTGTCTCCTCACTAATGGGTTATATGGAAGTGATTGTTGGTGTGCTCACTGTGTATATTATGATAATCGCTAGTCCTAAAGAGATGAAAATATATAAATATTGCCTCATGGTGATGTTGGTATGGTGAATTTGAAAATTAAAATAAATTAGTTCATAGAAAATTCAAAATAGATCTTTTCAATGGCTCTCGATTTGGTGTTTCACGGTTTCGTCCCCGAACTTTATACACCCGCTCTTGCTTGTCGATGTTACGGGATCTTGTGTGAAGTGTTTCATCTTAATGCAAATATTCTTTATGTTTGTGAAGAGATATAAGATAAGAAAAGAGAAAATTCAGGCACTTTCAATCGCATGCGCATTTGGAATCATTCTCGGGACGATCCTCTGTTTTCTCTATCGACATCAAATAATGTTACCAAGCGGGCATTGGGCACGGTATGTTATGGGGAATTCAACTTGCCAAATAATCTAAAGAGCAAGAAAAATTGGACACTTTGAATGCTTTTTTCAACAAGACATTGGATATTTTCTTTACTAATAAACAAGTTATCACCAAAAACGCGCATTTCATTATTTGCCAACCTAATAGAGTGAAACTTTGAATAGAAGGCTCCATTTAAAAGTCGCTTTACGAAGGATCGAAGCCTGGTCCGCAATTTGAATTTTTACTGGTTCATGTTTGATTTGATTTTACAATGCAAATGCGGGAATTATCTTCTCGAGCATTGTGTTGAAATCTTCAGTTTTCGATGGTCCTTTTGGGCGTTGTTTCTAATTTCGAATGTGATTTTCTATGGCGGTATGATAACGTGGGTGATAGTTGCGGGTCCGCTCGAGCATCCACCGAATGCAAGTGGATTGCCACACATTATCGAGGTTTGTTTTTCCCTTCAATATTGTATGAATATTGTAGAATAGTCGAGTAGAGTAGAGAGAGTAGAGTAGAGAGAGTAGAGTAGAGAGAGTAGAGTAGAGAGAGTAGAGTAGAGAGAGTAGAGTAGAGAGAGTAGAGTAGAGAGAGTAGAGTAGAGAGAGTAGAGTAGAGAGAGTAGAGTAGAGAGAGTAGAGTAGAGAGAGTAGAGTAGAGAGAGTAGAGTAGAGAGAGTAGAGTAGAGAGAGTAGAGTAGAGAGAGTAGAGTAGGGAGAGTAGAGTAGAGGGAGTAGAGTAGGGAGAGTAGAGTAGAGAGAGTAGAGTAGAGAGAGTAGAGTAGAGAGAGTAGAGTAAAAGAAGGTAGAACAAATCGAGATCGATGAAATAAAACAGAAATAATATGAAATGTAAAAACTACTTGAATCTTTCTCAGCAAAAAACTTTAGCAATATCCCGATTTGATGTGGCTTCAATTTGACGAGAATGCGTGGATCGGGAATTTAGGAGCTTTATTGGCTCCTCCATATGTGAAGATTCAATGTGGTGACGTGATTACTTTTGTCGGCATCGCAGTCGTCATTGAAAATGTATCAGCGGTAAGCAATGCTTTATATTCAACGTATTTCTTTTAACATCTGAAAACGATCAAAAATCAATAAGTATTACAAAATTGAGTTTACAGGGAACAATCATGATTTGGCAAATGTTTTATTTCCTGAAAAACACGTATATGAGTGAGAAGACGAGAGCGATGAATAGACGATTCATCAACGCTTTGTTTATTCAGGTGAAGACTTTTCTGTGATCTTTTATGCGATTGTGTCTGCTTTTGCCAATTTTGAAGCCTCTCGAAAAGTTCTCTGAAATTCCACAACTATTAGGCTGGTGAATTGAAAACTGCCGGAGACTTTGAACTAAAATTTATTCAACATAAAACCATGAATTCATTCCAAATAATTTCCATTATTATTGACGACTTCTGCCCATTTTACAGGCAATTTGCGGATTCCTCTTTCGTGGTAGGATTTTGGTTTGTGTGTGAGACAAGTGTGAGACTCAAAAATGGAGGACTGGGGATGTCCCAGTTTGAGCATTTGAGCACTTTCTTCAAAAGAAACCCATTTTGGTGTCAATAGAAAAGTTGTAGAGAATCAAAAATTAGGCTTATAACCAAATTTCCAAAAGGATACACTTAGTAGTTTTGCTTAAAATGCAAGTTTTGTGAAAATTCGTAAATTTGGCATTTCTTGAAAACCATTTTTTGAATCGTTCTGAAAATTTGAATATAAGCTTGATTTTCGATTCTCTACAACTTTTCCATTGACACCAAAATGGGTTTCTTTTGAAGAAAGTGCTCAAACTGTCACATATGACAATAGCCCGCAGTTTTCAATTCACCAACCCAATAGATAATGATTGCTATGCTAATGATTGCTTGAAAAGTGTTAAAGTGTTTAATTTTAGGTATTTTAAATGATATATATGTCGTAGCCGTTTACGAAATTCAGCCGCTAACGAATCATTCGTTAACGGCTAGTTGTTAACGAATGAAATTTTTCGCTAGTCGCTAACGAATCGCCCGTAAACGGTTAGCCGATTACGAATAAAAATTTTTCACTAAATTTGTACGAAATCTTTGTCATCGGCTTCTGCGAACATGGCATTTAGGCATTTATTGAAAACGAAACCATCAATCATTACAAATATTTTCCATTATTATTGCGAAGGGTAATGGTAGCTGGCGGAAGAGTGGAAGATCCTCTTTTGATTGCATACCTAAAATTGATTATTTACTAAAGAAAAACGACAAAAGAAAGCAAAATAAAGTGAAAAAAAAAACATGATTAAAAAACGAATTTAAAGTTCTTTCCATAATTTTCCCCCACCTTGTATTTACGATAGATGCAGCGATTTATAGTCTTTTCATCAAGATAAACTTTGGGTGAGTTTATTCATGCTTTTGGTAATTCGTTGTACCATATAATGAAAGAAATTGCGTGTTGTTCAGGTCGGAGTCCCGTCGTTAACCATCGCCGGTCCGCTGGTTGTCAATTCTTTGGGTTATATGGGAATACGAATATCACAAGGTGAGTTTTGGTGTTTTAGCCGTCACTTATTTCGTTTACCGTCGTGTCAAATCGAGCAGAAACACAGCGGTTTCGCAACTTTTCGGTTCGATCATTGGATATATTGATAAATAAGTTCAATTCGACCCGAAATGCCATTAGTTCTAGTATCAGAAAAGGTATGAAAACAAGATGAGAGTAGGATTTGGGGTTATCCGTCAAATTCGAGAAAAGTTATGAAATACGATAATCAAACACTCATCTACCTACTCGTCTAGTTGCTAAATTATGTACATATTCAAGTGCATAGTATATGTTGGATCAAATACAAATTCATCTATTCTAAAAGGCGATTTTAGGATAGCATGCAATGATACTGGTGTAGTCGCGTGTACGCTTTCTCTGCTTCATTCTTTATTTGTCGCGTGAGTTGGATTCTCGCGTAGTCGCAATACGATGTCGAAGTTCAACTTAAAATGGTGTGGAAAAGACATTCGAATCAATTGAGACACAGGCATTGCCTGGAGAACTTCGAAACAATGTTAGATGAATTCGACTTGCCGAAGCCTCCTCTCCGTCGAAGCCTACAACCGAATCCAAATCGATCCCAAGTGCTGCTTGATGGTGAAGAACCCGATGAGCCTCCACTCATTTCCGATGTCGCCGATGAGCCCAAGCAAGCCGATGTTACTGATCCACCGTCGCCACCGAACTGCCCTCAATGACCGCAACCTCTTCGACGTTCGACTCGAGACCGACGCTCATCTGATCGATTCATCGCCACCAAATGACGGATTGAACTATTGAATGTTGTTACTCACCTACCGTAAATACTGTAATAGTACCCCACCCGCATAATGACGGTGCGGAGTGTTGCGTAGTCTAGCTTTGAACGAGTTTTTCTCGACGCTGGTTTATGCTACAATGTGCGCTTAGGTATCAAAAATAGCGCTGAATTTCAGCTATTTTTTGATACCAAAGCGCGCATTGTAGCATAAACCAGTGTCGAGAAAAGCGCTTTGAAAAATCCCTTGCACCCCTCACACGAGAGAACTCCGTAGTGCGCATAGGCGGCTGAGTCACCGCAAACCGTGCACGAGTGGCATTCCTGTATTTTCGATTATGATGAAAATGAAATTATCGTAAATACTGTAATAGTACCCCACTCCCATAATGACGGTGCGGAGTGTTGCGTAGTCTAGCTTTGAACGAGTTTTTCTCGACACTGGTTTATGCTACAATGCTCGCTTGGGTATCAAAAAATAGCGCTGAATTTCAGCTATTTTTTGATACCAAAGACGCATTTTTTGAAAGTACAGGTGCTTTGCAAAAAAATAAATACTAAAAAACTTTTGCGACTACGCGAATGTACGAGGGCGGTGGGGTACTATTACACGATTTACGGTATGTTAATGTTTGTTCCCCTATTTATTCTTTTAAGGAGGAAGATGTTGGATTAAATACAAATTGATCTATTCTAAAAGGCACTGTCTTTTTGTCGCGTCAATTGGATTCTCGCGTAGTCGCAATTTTCCACTCGGCTCCTTTTTGCCATTTCCCCCTTGTTCTCTCTTTTTGATAGTGATTTAACTAACAGAATAAATGATATAAATTCCGTCTTGAATCAATCAGAGAAAGCGCACACAGTATCATTTGCATATTGCTATCCTAAAATTGTATATATTGTATTCCATTCGTGTATCATCTTTTTTTTAATTCCTTTATATCAGAATATCTCAACATTATGCTGTTTTTTGGTATGTTACATGGAAAGCTCACATCGATTCTCATCATCGCTCTCATTCAACCATATCGAAAATATTGTGACACTTCGATTAGAAGAATAATCGCGTATTTTCATTAGAAGCTGCATAATCATCAAAATTTCAGCCTCACGAAACGCGGAAACGAAATAACTGTTGTGTCGTCAACCATTTGATCATCATATCAGCAACAGTAAAAGATTCGATTATTTACGCAGAAAGGGGAGAGAAATTTAAATGCAAATTGATAGAGAAATGGTATCGGAATGCATTTCAGTGTGTACAGCAAAAGATTTATGCCTCAGCAGATTGCATCCAAATAAAAAGTTCATGAACGATCGAATACATGGCTTTGGTTCGGATCGAATTCAGCTTTCACAAAAAGAAATATCGATACAGTATTTTATTTGTCATTTATTGCTAATACTTTACTGAGCACAAAGTTCAAGGAAAGAATTCCAATGTTTCCAGGAACAGTTTTTGTCGAATAAGCTTCTATGAGAGGGACATAATGAAAATCTATCAGAACAACATTAATCTCCCTCTCCGCAATCACAACAAAGGCATTTGAAGATCGTTACGAATGTTTTAGTGACCATGAACTCCAAAGTTTTCTGCTCGACTGCTACAAATTGATCTATTCTAAAAGGGAATTTTAGGATAGCATGCAATGATACTGTTGTAGTCGCGTTGTGCGCTTTCTCTGCTTCATTCTTTATTTGTCGCGTGTGTTGGATTCTCGCGTAGTCGCAATTTTATAATAGGTTAGCTTCGCGAGGTTAGCTGAAAGCACACCGAACAGCGTTTTTGTGAAGATCGATATCGATGAGGCGCAAGGTGTGCTTTGTTTAGAAAAACGTTCATCATTTTTCAAACAGAACTCTCCCAAGTTCTTGGCGTTCGAGCAATGCCCACATTTTATTTCTTCCGAAATGGGTGAGCTCTTTGAAATCTTGTTAGTTACAAGTCTAAATTCTGCTTCATTTACCAGTCTAATTTGTTGTTTTTGTAATTGTCATCTGACGTATGACGAAGATCGATTTATAGCTTTTTAATGAACAGAATATTATGCTATATGCTTTGCTTTGAGCGGAAAAATTTAGGGCCAAAGTCGACGAAGTTGCTGGGGCCATGGGCCAACGATTTGGGGAAACACTCAAAAAATAGACTACCGTGTGATCGATTTATTGCTCAATCTTTATGTAATTTGATCTTTGAATGGAAAAGAAATAGTTCATTGTTGCAGGCTCAAAAATGAGAGTAAAAGAACCCTTGACACTATGCAAAATTGTTTGCAAAAAAATACTTTTTCATTCTATTCACATAAACACTGTAGTGATTATTGTTGGTTTAGATATAATCTTTATTACAGCAATAATAGTTGGTCCAGTGGTTTGGGATTGGGAGAGTAGAGACGACTCCACGGCACACCTCGGCAGCTCATTCACATTGCTTTTATACGGAACTTTGGCGTTGGTCTCGTCTTGCACACAATGGAGTTGAACGGATAGCGACGCATATTAAATCTCGCACAATAGGCGTTCGTCTACATTTCCAGCTGGCCTAGCTGGCCTAGCTGGCCATTTCCATCCGTGGTGATCTCGATCACGAGTTCGTCACGACAAACACAATCAATTCATGGGGATCAATTCCGACTTTCTTAGCATTTATGATGTGAAAAATCATTAGCAGCGACGATTTTTTTGCTTAACTTTTGCGGCGTTTCACCAAATTGTCGAAATCAAAAGCTACCTCTGTCAATTCTTCATTGTCCGAACATTTGTTCATTTGTTAGCCACTACTTCCACTGCAAGACCACAAGAAAAAAAAAAAGGATCAAGTCTGTAATTCTGAATATAAACGCAAATAAATAAGAAGTAAAAAGTTTTCACAAATAAAAACGTGTAATTGTATATTTGAAGCATCTAGCATACATAGAATTGCGAGTTATTATTTAGATAAAAAGTAAATTCTCTAACAGATTTCCTCTTTTTGTTATACCAATTAATAAACAACAGTGTTATTAGTTTCTTCAATGAGCTTTTACAAAAAAAAAAAAGAAAAAAACTACAGCTCAGAAGTGATCGAAATTTACTCAGTCGTTAATAAGTGAAGTTATAAGTAATAAATAAGTCGAAAATCTAGTGAATCACTCAGAAGTGATCGAAAGTTATACGCAATAAGTTATAAATGAATCGAAAATACTGTGAATACCCTGATCACTTTGATTTACGGCTGATATGCACACAGAAACATTGCAGAAAATGATTTATGATTTAAAATTTGAAAAGTAGAGGAATCTTTGAATTTAAACTTTCGCTTTTGTCGCCAATCTGAAAAGAAACCAAATCTGTAGAGAAAAGTAACGAAATCTTTCGAGAGAAGGAACCAAATCTGTCGAGAGAAAGAACCAAATCTGTACCGAAAAGAAACCAAATCTGTAGAGAAAAGGAACCAAATCTGTAGAGAAAAGAAACCAAATCTGTAGAGAAAAGAAACCAAATCTGTAGAGAAAAGTAACGAAATCTGTAGAGAAAAGAAACCAAATCTGTAGAGAAAAGGAACCAAATCTGTCGAGAGAAAGAACTAAATCTGTACCGAAAAGAAACCAAATCTGTAGAGAAAAGGAACCAAATCTGTACCGAAAAGAAACCAAATCTCTACAAAAAAAGAACCAAACCGAGATTTTCCCCATTGCGGTCCGCGGAAAATTGTTTTCAGAACAAGAAATTGATTTTCGAAGTGATCAAAAGTTATACTCAATAAGTTATAAATGAATCGAAAATCACTTTGATTTACGGCTGATATGCACACAGAAACATTGCAGAAAATGATTTATGATTTAAAATTTGAAAAGTAGAGAAATGTCTGAATTTAAACTTATCAGTACTTTATTGCGGAGGCTTTGATGAAAGTTGTCCGTAAATTGTACAGGGTGAGTCTTGTTGCCCCAAAATTTGATAAATAAACTCACAAATAATTCTAGTTTCCAAATTCGTATCTAAGATGATGATTAGACGACATACTAACGAGAAAGAGATATTAATTTAATGGAAGATATTAAAACTTTCTCCTTTACATTGCCTATATCTATTGGGTTGGTGAATTGAAAACTGCCGGAGACTTTGAACTAAAATTTATTCAACATAAAACCATGAATTCATTCCAAATAATTTCCACTATTATTGACGACTTCTGCCCATTTTACAGGCAATTTGCGGATTCCTCTTTCGTAGTAGGATTTTGGTTTTGAATCGAAAAACTTTCAAAGCCAATTTTTGACTGCTTCTTCCGGATCGAAGTGTTCTCCCGAAAGCTCATTTCTCATGGTCCCGAATAAATAGTAATCAGAAGGGGCGAGGTCCGGACTGTATGGGGAATGTGCCAAAAGTTCCCAACTAAGGCTGTTTATTTTAGAGCTAATCAGTTTTGCCACATGAGGGCGCGTGTTGTCGTGGATGAGAACGATCTTTGACTTGGAGGGCCTATTCTTCTTCAGGGATTCATTCATTCACCTTTCCCAATTGTTCACTGTATTTGATTGCATTAACGGTCGTCTTGCTATCCAGCAACTCCCTGTACACCACTCCCTCCATAACCCAGAAAACGCAGAGCTTCTTCTGGTGCAAATCGGTCGGATTTTGGATTTTGGTAGTAGGATTTTGGTTTGTGTGTGAGACAAGTGTGAGACTCAAAAATGGAGGACTGGAGATGTCCCAGTTTGAGCACTTTCTTCAAAAGAAACCCATTTTGGTGTCAATAGAAAAGTTGTAGAGAATCAAAAATTAGGCTTATAGCCAAATTTCCAAAAAGATACACTTAGTAGTTTTGCTTAAAATGCAAGTTTTGTGAAAATTCGTAAATTTGGTATTTCTTGAAAATCAGTTTTTGAATCGTTCTGAAAATCTGGATATAAGCCTAATTTTTGATTCTCTACAAGTTTTCCATTGACACCAAAATGGGTTTCTTTAGAAAAAAAGTGCTCAAACTGTCACGTATGACAATAGCCCGCAGTTTTCAATTCACCAACCCAATACATTCTGCTTTTGCGACCATATTATCGAGTTCTTTGAGTTTAATTCAAAAGAGAGTGTTTTTGGGTGAAAAACTAGAGGGGCAAAAAAAGGAGAAAGAAAGGAAGAAATTGAAGGTAAATTAACTAATTTGCATTTATCCAGTGATTAATCAGACATTATGCAATGAATTTTTTTTGTTTTTAACCAAGAGGAGCTCACTCTATTCGGGATAGTTTTGCTTGGAATTTTTCTCGGAACTTATATCGAATTCGAACTAAAGTTCTCTAGCTAATGAGTTTTCTAAATGTCGCCTATTTTCAAAAATTATCGCCAGTTGAAAACCGCTAGTTTTCAACCGATCAACCCAATTTTTTTATGATTGCCTGAGCCTTGTGATTCCTCATTGAATGATACCAAAAATTGAGATGATTGCATGTAAATTAGCGGTTTGATTACGGTAGTTTTCGAAAATAGGTTGGTGGTGGGTCTCTTCAATATGGAGGATTGCTCACTCCTTTCACTTTATGGAAACATTCTTCTATTGTGGACACTGAAGAGATATTCCGTATTTCATGATCATTTGAGGTTTGTGAAAGGAAAAAGCAGATTGAGGCCATGCTGGACACGTTGGTTCTTTTATGGGTTGGGGCTGGGAATACAAAAGACGGTCGGTGCCGGGATTTGAACCCGATTTGTCTATGAAAAGTTTATATTCCAATATTTTTCTAATATAAATTTCTAATAAACTTGGCTATAAGCTGTAAGAGCTCTAATAAATTTTACCAAAGATTTTCAGCTTTGTTTCAAATTTAATCATGACTTTAAAAAGGACTCTTCAGATCTTGACAAAAATTTGGTCTTTGCAAGTCTTTCAAAATCTATAATTTTCCTTAAAAAAAAGCAAATTTTGATAGCCAGGCTTAGGTTCTAGTACAGTACAACTATCGTTCAGAAAACTAGTACAATGCAGTGTACTATTGCAATAACGTATTTCAGTAATATTTTCCCATTTCTTGCCTCCTTTGCCTTCATTTTTAAAAGCATTTTCTCAAAGTTTAAATCCCAATTTTGAAAACATTCGTGAAAATTTTCTTAAAATTTTAAAGTCATCTTTCTCAAAAACAAATTTAAACTTCTATTTTTGTCAAAAAGGATTAAATAATCATCTATTCACCAATTTTCTGAGTTTTGAGGCGTGAATTTCTTGTCTTATGCCATATTTCATTGAAACTTTTACATTCCATTGAGAGGCGTTGAGCTGTGAAAGACGCATAGTGAATATTTATGTACTTGAGGATATCTTTGGCTCTTTTGTTGTGATTCTTTCCTTCAGTGTCGATGGTTTATCTTTGCTGATTGAATAAACGGTATCTGATTGCAAGGGAATACATCGAATACAGGCCAAAGAACGAAGGAAACGACGACGATAGTTCTAAAAAAGAATCGCGTTTTCATCAATATCAGAAAGTGATTTTTGGTGCTAAACAATTACAAAAGCTCAAAAAGCTAACTTACTCAGAGATACAGTAAGTCAGAGAAACTACCATTACCCTGACCTGTCCTACAGTACCTTTTGATATCTTAAAATTTGACTTTTAAATGAATACTTTATAACTTTAACGAAAAATAATATTAATTTTAACTTTTTCTATAGTCTACAGAGGATTTCAGGCTTTTATAGGATATCTAAACAGAGTTTGATTGAACCAGACAATCCTGAGAGAATCAAGAGACAAGACAAGTCAGAAGGCACTGTTTTCCTGGTTTAAGTAATACAGTGGTTTGTCAGGCTGCAAAATTTGTAGCAAAAATACAGGCACAAATTCCAGGCATAAAAATTGATTCCATAAAATTTGGGCATAGCGAGGGAGACACCTGCACAATCGCTGACTATTATTTTGCTTTTCGGATTCAAGAAGGAAACACTTATGTATCGGGGAAGTGTGCCAGATGGGAAGCCATTACGCTGCCGCACAAAGAACACCTTAAATTCCTTCACATAGAGGATTTCTCTTTAGATTTAGATGATACAAAAAGAAGATATTTAGCTGAAAATTTGAACCCGAGGGTTTTCGGGGTCGGGGAATCGATTGGAGCTATTCATTTCATTAAGTCTACCAACTAAACTATTTCACTGAGCTCTGAAAATTTTTGTCCTGAACCTTTTTCGGGATTTCGGTTGTTTTGGTCGATTCGGTCACTCGTCTACACTCATTTATGCTTTTCATTTCATAGCACTCATTTTATCTTTTGTTTCATCATATCCCTAGAGCTCAAAGCTAGAAAACAAAGCTCATTTCCCCACGAAACATCAAGTACGGCAGTTTCCTATTCTTTCCAAGTACGGCAGTTTCCTATTCGCACCGATTTTGCTTATTGACGCGGAAATTTTGTGATTAACTCTAAAAAAACAGAAAATCAGTGAAGTGGATGTAAAAATTGTGCCTTTGATCTTGATGTTTAGATGAAAAAAACTGCTTGAACAAATGAACAAACCTTGAACATGAAGATTACAAGAAAAGCTTCAGCAACGGGATACTGTGAGATGATTACTGGGCCACATCTCGCAAAATCGGCCACCGGTACTCCGAAGGCTTGCAAGAATGGACCCCAAATGACAGCGAAACAGACAAGATACTCGCAGATTGTGGGAGCGATTGTCTGAAAGAAATATATTCATATAATCTAGTCGTAACTTTAGTTTATTTCAAAGTTTTCCTTAGCCATGAATATCCAACAATCTAACAACAACCTTTTCCGAATAACGACTCAGATATCTGACTAAAACATGCTACCGTAACCCTCTAACTTTTTCTATACATCTTTATATCCCTAGATTACCGTATGCCAACGTAGTCGTGTACGGTAGCATTATGGGGTAAGGGTTACGGTATGATTTAGATCGTAGAGTTGTAGAACGTAGTCCTTACGACCACAAAAATGGGTCCTTCTCTTTCTTTCTTTCTCCTTCTTTCTTTCTTTCTCTTTCTTTCTCTTCTCTTCCTTTCTTTCTCTTTCTTCCTTCCTCTTTCTTTCTTTCTCTTTCTTTCTTTCTCTTTCTCTCTTTCTCTTTCTTCCTTTCTCTTCCCCCTTGTATTCCCTCTTTCTTCTCTATCGAAATTTTTGCACTAAAATGCAAAAAACTCGAGCCATTGTTTAAACAGTTTTGTAGCCTGAAATCTTTAAAAAATATAATCCCTTGGTCGCGAATCGGGGATAGCCTTGAGGAGGAGTTAAACTGAAAGTCACGAAATCTTGGCTATGCCTCTGCCTCAGTCGCTAGACGTTAGACAAAGCAAGAAAGGGTTGAGAGTTCAACCCCCTCGCCGGAAATTTTTGCTTTTCCATTCCTTACTTTACTTTGTTACGGTAACATTTATTGGGTTTTAAGGATTACAGAAACCAGGTAAACTTTAGAGAAGCGGTGTTCGAAAAAGTTATCAAGTGTTGCCTTTGCAATTCCTCATTCAAGCTAGTTTACTTAAAAATCTCACTCACTTATTAAAATGCGACTAAAATTTTGATATGCTACAGTAATCTACTTATTAAGTAAATTTCAATAACTTTGTCGATTTATGCAAAAAAAACCTGTGCCAACAACATCTTCAACAGCTCGGTTTGCATTCGTTTCGCTTTGGTGCTCGTAATCGATTTTGCGATAAAGAAATATCGAAATTTCTCTTATTAACTGAATATAAAGATGTAAAAGACTTACAATTTGAATCCTGTGACACAAACGATTGCATAAACAGTTCCACAAAGAGCCGACACTCCCATCGATCCGATGATCACTCCCCAGAAGATTTGCGTCTTTTCGTTTGGGAATTTGTACTAAAATGAGGATTCTATAAGAACCTAGATCTTATAGAATCTGTATCTGTATCTGTATCTGGATCTGTATCTGGATCTGGATCTGGATCTGGATCTGGATCTGGATCTGTATCTGGATCTGTATCTGGATCTGGATCTGGATCTGGATCTGGATCTGTATCTGGATCTGGATCTGGATCTGGATCTGGATCTGGATCTGGATCTGGATCTGGATCTGGATCTGGATCTGGATCTGGATCTGGATCTGGATCTGTATCTTCCAGATACCGAAAGTATCTGGAAGCAAATCGCGTATTGGAATATCCAGGTTAAATTTTATTTACTTGTATATTAAAATTAGCATATAAAAATGTTATTAGCTAGCAAATCTTATCTAATTTTTCTTTCAGGCGGAGTGCCAAGTACCCTCAAAGTCTCATCCACTCAACAATGGGATTTCCCAAATGTTTGGGCGCCAAATGTGCACTTATTTGTGGAGTGTTTACTTAATTCGGGTACTGTATAGATAAATATTAAAAATGCTAGCAAGATTATCTAGCATTTTGCTAGCATTTTTACCCAATAAAGTGGCCCAACAAAGCTCCATTCGGTGGTGTTTAGGTTGCCGAGAATTGGCGTCAACTCATCGCGAACGGTGATCGCCCGGAGATCGGTTGGCTGAATATTTATTTGTGAAATTTTAATCTAATCTAATTCTAATCTAATCTAATTCTAATCTAATCTAATTCTAATCTAATCTAATTGTTAATCTTTTTCAAAATAAGTTCGCAAATTTTATCCTCTAGAACAAATTCTCTATGAAAATTCCCTCACAAATTCCCTCACAAATTTCGCATTGAAATCTGGATTTGAATACAATACAATTTTACTCAAGTAATTACTAGTTACTTACTCGCTAGGAACATACTTTAGTCCAAAGATCGAGAGCAACATTCCTCATCTATTAGGTTGGCAACTTAATAATGACGCGTTTAGGTAACAAATCATTTATTTTAAAAAAACACAAAAGAAGAGCTTTCAATTCGAAAGGTATTCTCCATTAGTATCTATGACTTCTTCCCATCTTCTGCGCAAATCCCGGATCCCATCCTCGAAGAACTTGGGAGTTTTTGAGGCGAAGTAGTCATTCACTGCTTTTATGACCTGAGCATGATCATCGAACTTTTCTCCCTCCAAAAAGTGCTTCAGCGACCGAAACAAAAAGTAATCTGAAGGAGCCAGATCAGGTGAATAAGACGCGTGGGGCAAAACTTTCCAGCCAAGTTCCTCGATTTTCTTATAAGTGATCTTTGCAGTGTGAGGTTTTGTCGTGTAAAAATCTGACTCTCTCCGGTTTGAGCCCCAATTTCTTCAAAGACTCGTTAACTCTCATTAATTGCTTCGAATAAAGATCAGCATCGACGGTTTGGCCAGGTTTCAGCACTTCATAATGCACCAATCCCTTGAAGTTCCACCAGCAACAGAGCATTATCTTCTTCCCATGGATATCAGGTTTGGGAGTGGTTTAAGGGGTCTGCCCAGCAGATAGCCATTGATTTTTGCGTTTAACGTTCTCGTAGTTGATCCACATTTCGTCAGAAGTCAAAACCCTGTGAAAAAAAGTCGTTTGATTTACATTTTTGTAGCAAAATTGAGGCGACATTTTGTTGCTTTGGGTCAGTTCGTGAGGAACCCATTTTCCAACTCGATTCTTTTCCCAAGTTTGTGTAAATAGTTTTCGATTGTCATATGGGATACTTCAAATATTTCTGCCAACTCACGAACGGTGAGTGTTGGGCAATCTTCAATTAAGGCGAGCAAGTCATCGTCGACCACTTCTGGAGGATGTCCTTGGTGTGGCTCGTCTACGAGGCTTTCATCGCCGCCTTGGAATCTTTGAAACCATCGTTGACATTGCGGAATGTGTATACTTTCCTCCCCAAAAACAGTGATGATCGTGCGATGAGATTCAGCTGGTGATTTTCCTTGTTTAAAATCGTAGAACAATGAAGCTCGAATACGGAATTTTTTGTCCTCCATTTTTTGCCAAAAAGCAAATGTTGAAATTTGGAGCACTAAATGTTATTTATGTAGACATCTTTTACTTTGTATATATGCAAAAAAGAGGGAAAAAACGGCGCTTGAAATTACAAAAAACATGTTAAGTAGTGACGCGTCATTATTAAGTTGCCAACCTAATAGTTTTTGAAATGTTAAAATTCCTTATGACCTTACGATAGTTGTAACTTTGTTTTTAGAAAAGTTTTGCTTAAAATTAGCCTTACTTGATAGAAAACATGAACCATAATCATCCAAATTGCACTCAACGAGCAACTCCCAAGAAAAACAAAAAATAAACCCTTTTTCGTATCGAATAGAAATGACCATTGACTGAAAATTTTTAAGAAATCTTTTAAGAAAAAAAAGAAAATAAAAAAACTTTGAAAGCTTAAAGCTATAAAACTATGACTGCTAAAAGCTTCTCAATGTCAACTTGTCTTTTTTGATTTCTTGTTTGACTTCCTCGGATTTCAACTCACCCAGTGACTCGCACATATCGATACAGACAATGAAGGGCTAATAAGAGAACTGAGCAAGTGAAAGCGTGCACATAAAGAAGAGCCGATAAATAGCCGATGAAGAAACCGTGAGGAGCGACTCTAGTTGAAACCTCGAGGAAACCATACGAATCGACGATGAATTCCTGAGATTGGGAAATGGAAAAAGCTTTAAACAATCAATGCTATACAATTGAAGTAATCTGTATGAGTTGTCTAGTTATCTCAATTCTTACTGAACCAAGGAGCTTTAACTTTAAATTTTCGACCTACTCAGCTATCATAACTCAGCAAAGATCTCCTTAGATAGATCTCCAAAGATCTCCTTATACATATCTTTGTAAATACTTCTTTCTTATAAGCAACTTAGTTGGTGTTACAGTAATCTTTACGACGACTTAGATTACTGTAACATTATGGGATACGGTAGCAGTTTTAAAGAGCTAGAGTTTGAAAAAAACAAATTTGAGTTGATTCAACCCTTTCTCCCGGTGCTTAAACAATAGTTGGAACTAGAGCAGATCAAAAACTTGTCGCCGGGACTCGAACCCGCGACCTTTCACTTACCGGACAACTGTGCTAGCCATTAGACGACAACGAACTTGATCTCACTTACTCCAGAGAGAGTTAACTTCCATCCACTGTGGACGAGACGGTTCTACACTTTTCGATTTATAGACCTGGGGTGCGTCTTGTCCAGAGAGGAGGAAAGTTAACTCTAGAGTAAAGTAACTTTCCTCCTGTAAAGTAACTTACACCGCAACTTGATCTCCTTTACTCTAGAGTAAAGGAGACCAAGTTGCGGTGTAATGGCTAGCACGCTTGCCCGGTGCCCGCTTGCCCGGTGCCCGCTTGCCCGGTGCCCGCTTGCCCGGTGCCCGCTTGCCCGGTGCCCGCTTGCCCGGTGCCCGCTTGCCCGGTGCCCGCTTGCCCGGTGCCCGCTTGCCCGGTGCCCGCTTGCCCGGTGCCCGCTTGCCCGGTGCCCGCTTGCCCGGTGCCCGCTTGCCCGGTGCCCGCTTGCCCGGTGCCCGCTTGCCCGGTGCCCGCTTGCCCGGTAAGCGAAAGGTCGGGGGTTCGAGTCCAGGCGACAAGTTTGTTGATCTGCCCTAGTTCCAACTCAATCACTTACCATTTTCAAGTACGTGTGCAAGATACTATAATAAATATTATATCCAGTGATTATCATCATAATCGTTTTATATCCACGATCGTTGAATTCCCTTTCCGTGACGATCAATCCCAATAATAATAAATTCATGATTATTCCGAAAATCCCATTGAAATCTTGGTATGCGAGAAGGATCGAGTTGAGAGTCATTCTGGAAATTTGCCTTGTGAAAGTTTCTTTTATACAAAGATTTGAAAACTGTTACATACCGTAAATCCTGTAATAGTACCCCCACCGCCCTCGTACAGTCGCGTAGTCGCAAAAGTTTTTTAGTATTTCATTTTTTTCAAAGCGCCCGTACTTTCAAAAAATGCGTTTTTGGTGTCAAAAAATAGCTGAAACTCAGGGCTATTTTTTGATACCTAAGCGCGCATTGTAGCATAAACCAGTGTCGAGAAAAACTCGTTCAAAGCTAGACTACGCAACACTCCGCACTGTCATTATGGGGGTGCGGTACTATTACAGTATTTACGGTAAGTGAGAACAAAAAAAAAATCCTTAAAAACGTTTTTAATCAAGAAATAGAATTGTGAAGAGAGTGGAATTGATAAAAAAAATGCGATTTTTGGTGACTTTAAGGTACATTTAAAAGGGTTTAGCGCATATATATTTCGTAGCCGATGAAGGATTTCAGCCTTAATCGACTAGCCGATTAAGTCTCAGACTTCTTCGGCTAGTCGATTAAGTCTCAGACTTCTTCGGCTAGTCGATTAAGTCTCAAAAATGAAATAATCTTGAGTTATGCATTGACTCAAGTCAATACCACAAACTCAAGCTCTCTAAAAGGCGCTTAAAAGCTAAAAGAGAGTCATTCTGGAAATTTGCTTTGTGAAAGTCTCTTTTATAGAAAGATTTGAAAACTGTACACAAAAGTGCTCAAAAACGTTTTTAAGCAAGAAATAGAATTGTGAAGAGTACAATTGATCAAAGAAAATTCAATTTTTGGTCACTTTAAGGTACATTGAAAGAGATTAGCAAAGAAATTTGCAAGCTTTGAATCATTTTAGGGTAATTGAATAGAACTGTACTGGATTCATGTACACAAATCTAATGAAATCAAAAGAGGAGAAATTCTCTTGATAGAAAATGGTTTTATCAAAGAAATTCAAGACTTTGCTAAATAGATTTAGGTTAGTTTTTACTATTAGAACTATTAGAACTGCAGATAAGCTGCCCTGAAGAACAGCGCTAAAACACTCCATAGTTTAAATACTCCATAGGTTTACAGGGTATAATTCTAACAGTTACCCCAAAGCCAATCGGTAACAGAGCTGCTTTAAAGCAGATTTTTTTTACCCAGTTTAGACAAAGCAAGGAATACGGTAGATTTTAGAGCTGAAGAGCCATCTTTTGCTATTTTTGGTCACTTTAAGGTACATTGAAAGAGTTTAGCAAAGAAATTTGCAAGATTTGAGCCATTTCCAGGAGCCCTATTTATCTTCTTAACATTTATAAACACTTAAGAATTGTTTTAGTGGTTTAACAAAAAACAAAAAGCTTGTGACCGCGAGGGGCTTTGAACCAGCGAGGCCGAGCTCAAAAGGCGAGCGCACTATCCGCTACACCACCATGTCAGGTTTAGGGGCGGGTAATTAGGCCCTATAAGGCTGCGGCGTCTTTTTTCCAAAAAGTGCCCAAACTTCAAAAATTCAACCAACTGCTTACATTTCCTGGCAACTACATAAAAATTATAAAAGCGATTTATTATCTAGGATACGGCAGCAGATTTGTATCTTAGAAAACGGGAAAACAGAATGGCCAAAGAAATCAAGGAAATCAAAGAATGGCCACAAACAGCTTGGCGTATGAAAGCCACAAAAGCCAGGCTGTCCTATCCTAGCTCTAGGGTTTGTTTAAACATTCGTGCTCAGTAACTGATAAACAATAAACCTTTGTCATCTTTGAGATACGGTAGCTTCCAGCTATATTCTAGAAAACAGAAACCCACCAGGCAAACCGTTAACTACGATTTTTGCTCTTCAAATCCGTTCTTATATAGAAAATTAGTGATTCAAAGTTTTCGATGGGAAATTTTCAACTCGGAAATTCCCAGCATTCGATCATTGTTCCCATTTAGCCAACAGTAAACAAATTTGGATGGATTTTTTTTCAAAAAGTTATTCAAACATCATCCTTTTTCTTCCGCTTGAACAGAAAAGACAAAAAAATTTAGAAAAAAAAGATTTCTAAGAATTTCTGCATAATACAGAAAGATCAAATTTTCAAGTTTGAAAATCAGAAAAGAGATGAAAATGGCTGTTTTTTTGGGAGAGATTTCGTAAAGATTTGTACGAAGCTTGGGCTTAACAAACTCGACTCAAACGGCTTAACAAACTCGACTCAAACGGCTCAACAAACTCGACTCAAGAGTGTATAGGAAATCTTTGCGCTTGCGAGCTATTCAACAGATTTTGATTACAGATTCGGATTCCGCGTTTGTTTTTCGATCGAATGGGCTGGGTCTCGTTTTTTGAAACCCCACAGTGATCTAGTACTCTTATTTCCTGGTCAGATCATGCTCAACGACCCCGCTCTAGGTAATTTTGCACACCAAGCCACTCATTCGATGTACCATTTGTTCGATGGTACTTCTGGCTTGAAACAATACGTGACTAGTGTCAAGAAAGAGTCCGCATGCGATTTCAAATAACCACACGAAAACCAAGCATAAATAAAGCAAAAAATAGTATAAGAATTCATGAAAATCAAAAATATTATTGTGAAAAATAAAAAGCTTGCCAAGTGGGGGGACTCGAACCGACTAGAAAGAGATTCGCGAGGTTTCGTAGGCGACCACGCTATCCACTAGACCAGGACTGCCACTGAAAGTGGTCGCGTAAACTCGTCTCAAGAGTTTATAGGAAATCTTTGCGTTTGCGAGCTATTCAGCAGATTTTGATTACAGATTCGGATTCCGCGTTTATTTTTCTATCGAATGGGCTGGGTCTCGTTTTTTGAAACCCCACGCTGATGATCCTAGTATTCTTATTTCCGTATTTCCGTATTTCCTTGTACTATTTAGTACTCTTATTTCCGTATTTCCGTATTTTCTAACAAAAAGACTACACTCAAAATTGCTTTTCGTAGACTATTTCGGTGTCTCTTGAGACTAAAAAGTGATGCTAAACAAAAAAATTTACAGATGTAGCTGAAAATTGTGCTATAATCAGGTTGATCTTGAAAAGGAAAGTCGAAAAAGGTTTCCGAATTGAGAAAAAAGATTTCAAATATCTATTGAAGGCTTTTTTTTTAAAAGCAAAGTCAAAGCAAAGGAAGAAAGTTTCAAAGCGAAAGCTTCAAACCGAAGCCTGAACACCAGTTTCAGAATCAAAATGGCTAAAGTGTTTCCGAAAAGGCACCTATTTTCGAAAACTACCGTAATCAAACCGTTAATTTACATTCGATTAGCTCAATTTTTGATATCATTCTATGAGGAATCAAAAGACTCAAACAATGATAGAAAAATTGGGCTGATTCGATAAAAACTGGCGGTTTGATAGCAATAGTTCTCGAAAATAGGTGACTTTTAGAAAACTTATAAACTAGAGGAACAGAATTTAGTTGGAATTCGGTAGAAGTTCAAAGT